GTTGATTAGTTTCAAGAGATCTATTTACTCCTTGTTTCAAATTCTTTTATCTTTTAGAAGAAGCATGACTACCTCACTTCATGAGCAGATTACTAGGAAACTGGGACACTGCGCTCAGATCACACTGCGGCCCATTCGGCTCAATGATTTCATCATTCGGCATCCTGTTTAAATTTTTCTCCTGCTCATTGCGTTTCCTCTCTTTCATCATCATACTTTTTTCTCTATAATGGTGGTTTTGAACACTCTAGTAGTTTCACTATGTTGGTACCACATAATCAAATAACAATCGGAAGTCCATGTATTTCTTTGCAGTCACCTCTCATATAAACACAAATGTACGTTTTTTGCTGGTCTTCTGTAAGCTTATCGTCGAACGACTTATGGTTTTTCCCTATGCACTTTTTTTCATAAGTTAATATAACTTTTGCAACGATTACCAAAATGGACGCGTGTGGCGCAGTGGTCGGAGGCACGCTGCAACAGACGTGGAATCGATCCGCGCGCCCATGGCCCGCCAAGCCTTCCATCACTCAGGGGTCGGCAAATTGGTACAAGACTTGTCTGGGAGGATTGAAGCACTGGCTCGATACATTGGTCATTGGTAGGTCACTGCGAGTCATTGTAAAGGTCAGATATGCATTCAATCACCTCCAAACGATCATTGATGAAGTCGAATGCATGGCGTATACCACAGGGATTGATCAACGACGAAAGCCTTATTCTTTTATCCTTTACCAAAATATTTCTGACAAGATTCGTAAACCAGTATGATGTATGAAAATGTGGAGGCGTATATCAGCATCATTTTTGTGTTTTTATTGTAAAAAATGTCGAAGACAATACAAAATAAAGTTGATCTGGTTTGTTAAATCTCAGGTCTCAGGCAAAGCAAGGCCTCCGTCGCGCGTCTGTATCGACAAGTTGGTACCAGAAGTGTCTGGAAGACAAAATACTGATTCGATACATTGGTACTTAGTTACTTGATACTTGAATGGCCCGTTTTCGGAGATTTGCTGGTTAAGCCATTATGGTTCCCTAGAGTCCCTAGGGCGGCCTAGGCAAAGTTTGCCCCAGGTTTTCACCATAACAGGGAGTCACAACCCTTGTGGATCAGAGGGATATTTACCACCATGCGACTTTGATACCAGGACGGTGGTGGATCCTGGTACTGGTTTACTGTTAGCTAGGCTTCCTGATGGAAGCGCGGGACTCCTACTCAGCTTGAGAGACTCTGCGAGGAGATGAATACCCCGCTGTGCATCGCAGTCCGGCACCCAGGAACACCTCTTAGCCACGATGAGGCGGTAAACCGTTGGGAGGTGATACATTGGTAAGCTATCGAAAATAATTGTTCGGGAGAAATTTGCATTCAATGATCTATACGATGTCACGAATGGATTCGAATGCATAGCGCATCTCTAGGGAACTGCTAAAATCAGAAAACTCTTTCTTTACCTTTAATCTGGGATAAAGAGGATTAAGTTTGACAAGTGAAATCATCACTAGTCAGGAATATTAGAAGTGTTTAGAAGAGAATGTCTAATTGAATATATAGAACCAGTGAAAGTGATAAGCCAAGCTTTAGTGCTCCACTACGAAAGGCGGGAATCACGAACCGCATGGTCTTTTTCGTTTGTTTGAAAGCGTAAGGTGTAAACTGTGCGGATAGATGTCTTACGTACAGAAATGAGATCTGAACAACGTTATTTACGAATTTCTACAACATTCCGATCAATAAATCAATTCGCACCATTCTAAGAAGTGCATGGTGGTGGTTGATTTATGAGTTGAAATCTTAGCTGTTGATTGGAGTATACGCAAAAACTCAGTTTTAACGTGTAAAACAAGACATTCTAAGTGCATTAATTATCGAGATGTTTGATTGCTTTAAGCCATTGCAGCCGACCACCGATTTTGTGTAGTGTGCTAATAGGACAACCTCTACTTTCATGCTAGCTGTGAACTTACCGCTTCTTCGAGAACAGACGGTAATGCTTTGATAACTATAAGGGTTGACTGGTTGAGGGTAAAAAATGATGAAGCTCTCGACGTTGATCAATACTTTAGGGATGAGCCATGCATTCGACTTCATTAAATATCGTTGGAGGTGATTGAATGCATATCTGGTTTTTGCAATGACTCGCGGTGGCCTACCGATGTATCGAGGCAGTGCTGCTATCCTCCCAGACAAGTCTGGTACCGATTTGCCGGCCCAGAGGCGTAGAAAGCTTGGTGGGCCATAGGCGCGGGGACCGATTCCACGAGTGTGTTGTAGGGCTACTCCGACCACTGCGCTACACGCACCCATCGTTCATGTTGTGTATGCTACCTACTTACTATGTGCTACTGTGTTTCACCCTATAAGCCAACATTGCTGTCAACACTTCGAAGTGGTCTCCAGCTTTTGCTGGGTCTGTTCATGTATTTTTTACATCCGCCCATTCCATACCTTAACCATGATTTGTCATAGCCATCGAACTTGAAATATTATTCGATTGCCAACTGAATTACTGGCCAATGAATTCGTTTGAAAAAATGTCTGTTGCGTATTTTTAAGTGTTGATCAATCCCTGAAGGTTGCATCATGAATTCGATTTCGTCAAGCTTCGTAGAGATCGTTGAATGCATACCCATGCAACACAATAGCTTGCGGTGGGCTAGCAATCTGTCAAGTCTGTATTCTCTTCCTCTCAGATAATTTTGGTACGAATTTGTCGAGGCTAGAGGAATGAAATGCTTAGTGAGCCTGCAGGATCGAACCAAGAGCAGGTCCTGTATTGCAGTATACCTCCAACTATTGCGCTACATGCAAACTTTGGCTGTACTTAGTAGTGTTAAATATTCCTTGTCTTTTTTCTCCACTATTATTAATTAGCCTTCTCACGCGGTATATTCTACTAGATTTCCAAACATTTGAGGGTTGGTCTCATGTTCCCAGGGTTTGAAGCCTACAAAAGGTGTTATGATAATAGCTTTACGTTCATATTATGCAATATTTCGAGGGGTATATTTTGTTTTACACTTTTATTAACGTCTTTCCTTTCGTTTTTTTTCCTTTCAGTTTAGATTGTTAAGATAAAAATCGAAAGTAGACAAATTTCTCCAGCAGTTTCTTCTTCACAGAAACTCAAACGTGGGGGAAAGTGGCTGACAAACTCAACGTAGCATTTTGGCCAGGGATCTGTTGAGATGTGTATGGTCCAATGTCCGTTTCAAGAGATTCATCATAGAAATGACGTTCGTTAAGGTAAGAAAAAGTGCAAAAAAGAAATAAGAAGAAGCAGAACCACATACAACGACAGAAATGCGGAAAATCAATGACACACGTGTGAGATTAACGAAGGCTAAAGTGCTCGCCATTGCAAAATCCGTCTCACGCTTCCTCTCCTCAATAAACACTATCCGTTCCTTAATCGTTTTCTTATGTGAACAAGAACATTCTCTACGACAACTGCCGACGGCTTACGCAACGCTTGAACAATAACGGACCTTCGAAACCCTTGTTGAGGTCAAATTTTCTTCGGATGACGTTTAGCGATTGTTATTGTTATGCCGGGCAGATAGAATCGTTCTCTTCAACTGCCTAAATCCACACGTTGTAGCGAAAATTGGAAAATTTTCCAAAGGTGAACGGATTGAACGAAGAACTGCAACGTTTGAGACGTGTGTTGGCTTGCCACCCGATTCTACTGTACGGCAACACCATCCTGCATGCTTACCGAATCACGGTAACAAACGGCTGCCACGTCCTTGAAAAAACCTCTAGGCGTTAATCAATCCCTGAGGGATACACCATGCATTCGTCTTTATTAAGCATCGTTTGGAGGTGACTGAATGCATATCTGGCTTCTATAATGACTCACGGTGGCGCACCGATGTATCGAGCCAGTGTCGCTGTCCTCCCAAACAAGTCTGGTAACAATTTGCCGAACCCGGAGGAATGGAAGACTTGGTGGGCCATGGGCGCGGGGACCAATTCTGTGTATGTGTTGCAGGGTGCCTGCGACCACTGCGCCACACGCACCCTTGTTGCAACGTCCTTAAGGTCCTCAATTAGTGGGTAGGGAAAATGAACCCCTTCTCAATTGAACCGTCATAAGACCAGTGCTCTCCTGAATTTAGCCTCATAGAATAAAGAACTTTGTGCACTGTTAAAGAATGTGTATTTTGAATTCGTTTAAAAAGTCCACAATTGACTAATACGTGTAAACTTGGAATGTAAACCGATACGAATTTCCGAATAGATTGACAGGGGACCTTCATTTCGATTTAGCGATAAGAAGGAAGCACCTGATGCAACTTTCTTTGAAATGGGATGTTATGAGTACCATTTCATGTGTAGAACACTTCGCCCATCTTTATGTACACAACGTTTTGTACATATTTCCGTGTTGGAACGCTCTTTATCGTGTACTCTATGCAGTTTTTACACCTTGAGTCCGATGTGTTTTAATTCTCTCTCGTACGTGCGTGGACATTCGGTCCGGCGTGAGATGATATCAACTCATAGAGAATGCAAAAAAGAAATTAGGCGTCAAATAGATGTAGTAGCCACACGGATTTAGACGTTTGAGTCAGTTTTGGAGGTTTTTTTGAACTGTAAACGGTTTTAGAATTCTGAGTTTTATTACAATAAAGAGAAAACAGTGACGACAACAAGCATTTTGCGTCTGTCGAAAGCTGGATATCATATGACCCGAATGTGTGCTTGTGTCGGGGTGTGTTGCACCCCTCAACGTCAAAGAACAGTTGAAGTATTTTAAACAAGTACAATCAGATGAAATAATCTATAAACTTGTCAACATTAGAAATCGTGAATGGCATTACAGATTGATTAGAGAAAGCAAAAGCAACGCCGTGAAGCAAGCGAAATCTACCGCAAAGAGACAAGTCATGTAGCATTCGTTCGCTTCAGATTCGGTTATTTGATAAATTGGATAACTCACTTTATAACAACTAGACATGGATTTGTGAGAGAAATTATTAGCGCTGGAATGCTAAAGCATTGTACAATAGCTACGAATACGTTGACGAGCACGTCTAATTGGTCGTTGTCTTCGTTCGAGATCTTCTTCGTCTTGGACCAATCTGACAGCGTCCATATTGCGTAATCCAGCTCGCACTGTTGCTCGGCGACACTCAATGGCACCTTCTTCGATCATCGGCAAATCATTGAGCCTTTCTATTAGTGGCGGGCGCTCGTGTAATCCACTACTCTGATAGCGAAGATAAGCACATCCTTTGCCGTCATGCTCCACCTGCCCCATTATAAATGGTGTGCCGACAGTGAAGATTTCCTCTGATCTTCTATTCGGTGGTATGTAATTTGGATGGCGATCGACCCACTCCGTACAGTCAAATGCAGCCACTTCACGAACTGGGCTGTATGATCGGTAGCGACCGTTGAGTGAGTCACCATATTGCGTAACGCTGCGGTAGAGTGGCTCATTCGGTGGATAGATCGGGTGGTGCACCATAACACGCTCATCAAAGTTCGTCGATCTGCATGAATACGCACCATTCGAAAACTCAGCATTTGGCTTGTATGGGACTCTCCTGATGAAACTGGAGCGTGATGGAGTTCTTGGGCTAAGCGATCGCTCTACACGAACCTTCCTTACATATGTAACCTCAGTACGCTCTCGAACAGTTGTCCATGTGTGTGGTGAAAGTCGATGCCTCTGACCACGTTCGCCTCTCAGAGAATGATCACGCAAATACCGTTTGTCTGATGACAATTCTCTCAGAGTAGAAGAGAACTGCTCAGGACTTTTACGGTCATCTGGTTGCCGAGCACTAATCGAAACGGAAAATCCCACAGGCATTTGGTCTCGTTCGAGATTGTTAGCACTCAAAAATACAGGTCCCTCCTCGTCCGACTGTTCACGATTCATGTATAAATTGTTGGGCTCTTTCTGTTCTTCATGAGATTTTACAGAGAAGAACACATCGAGATCGATTTTATTACGATGTTTATCAGGGCTTACATCTACATCTTCTTTCAAAGTGGTTGGACGCTTCCTAAGATCATGCACATTTGAATAACTACCTAAGGTTTGACCATCTTCGTGAAAAACTCTCACATGATGAGTAAGAGGTACTGCATCAATGTCGATCGTACGTGACATATTTTCCAATGCACCATCGTAGACATCTGATACAGGATAATCAAGGACAACTGGACCCCTTTTGAACACTGGGGTGATCCGTTCGGCGTCAGAAAGATAGACGAGATCAGTGCATGCCTCTTCTAGCGTCCGAGCAGAATCATCAGATCGTCCACTGTGGTACACGGTGACGTGGTGTGTAAGTGGTTCTCCTTGGATGTCATCGATTCGTTGTGTACACTCAAGTGGACCTTCGTACAATTCTGATACAGGATAGTCAAGATGAGCTGCACCTTTCTTGAATAACCCGGTAATTTTATCACCGAATGCCTTCGCGGCATCAGCAAAACCGATGTGTTCCTCGTCGGGTTTCGGAGCAGGTTCATCTGATCGTCCACTGTGATACACGGTGACGTGGTGTGTGAGTGGTTCTCCTTGGATGTCATCGATTCGTTG